GGGGGGGGGGGGGGTGCAGAGGAGAGGGGTTGCATAATTTCTTTGTCATGTTCATACCCTATGTTAACATATTAAGAAAGCAAATCTATTGTTTATTCTGTCAAGAAACAATGTCCAGAAAAAAATAACACAAGAAACTGAGAAAGCTAAACATAAGCCACTACAGACAAGAAGTCTCTCTGAATTTCTCAAGTGTTCTCAAATAACAGTGTTTGTTAAAGTATATGATACATGGGGTTGGTTTCACAGGATGGTCTATAACAGATTTAACTCCCCCAATTATGGATTTTTCCTATCAAATTGGGCTGTGAGTGTTCAATATGTTGCCCTACTAGAAAATATCCATTACAGACAGACAGACAACCTTGAATTAAGCACAATTAAAATTAAAGCTCAGTAGCTTATGTAGTCATGCATAATAAAATTAAAATTAAATTAAATTAAAATACCCCCATGGAATTTGAGGGTCCCCCAATAATTATTTTCATCCTATACCTTTGAGGTGTGTGGCATTTTCTGGAACACCACAGTTTAAACTTTAAGGGCACGGTGAATTAAACTTATCTGAGTAATTTTGACATTTTTAATGCCTGACATTTTACACCTGATATTAACAGGTGATGGGTCAAAAATGGAGCAAGACCAAATTTACGAACTCTTCATTTCTCATGTGTCTGATCATGTGAAGAATGAACTCTCTTTTTCTGAACTAAACAATATAATGACAGAACAAAAGATTCTGGAACTTCTTTGGCAGCCACATTCATTGGAAAAACTTTCCTTTGCTGACATGTCAAGTTTGTGGCTCTTAATCCAGAGAGATGAATTCATCAAGTTACAACTACTGCAAGATATGGAACACATTCCAAGAGTGTACGGCTTCTGTGGAAAATTTTATGCTGTAGAGAGGGTGGAGACCCTAGAAGAATTTTCCTTTTCTCCATTTAAAAAGCCAATGCCTTGGAAAAAACGCTTAAAGACAGCTTTAGACTTTTTGGAGCTTTCACAAGAATTTTCTAACACGGCGTTAGGAAAACTTCACCACTGTGATATCCAGCCAGGAAATTTTGGTATCACCAAAGCTGCGAGAGTCGTAGCCATTGATATTGACTCTGTATTCTCCATGCAACAAATGGAGGATTTCCTTGAACAACCAACTTGTGAGAGTAACAAACAGTGTGATTTCTTTGACTGCATGTCTGCATGTAATGTAACAGAACATCAATGTTCAAGAAATATTCTCACCAACAACCTTCAGGTAAGACAAGTTGATTATGGAAAATAGATGTTATAATTACCCGTTAGCTGGGAGCTCCATACAGTGAAAAACTGTGACTAAGGTCTTGAAATGCTGCCTGAGGCTGCAGGCCGAGCTAGCTGGGCAGCATTTCAAGTCCAAGGTCACAGTTTTTCACTGCACACACCAACCCCAAGCTGGTAAATAAGTTATTTTTTTCCTTTCTCTCAGATCACTTTTATTGTTGACCTTTTCCACCACTCTCTGCACATGCACATCTCCATGAATGTGGTTAGGGATAAGAAAATCTGGACTGAGCCAGGAACCAGTCAGATTGAAGGATTCGTTACAGTGCCCTATTAGAGAAAAATAGTTCATCATCTCAAACTACTAGGAACTTGTGTCATCTGACCAGTTTGAAGACTATTTCATAGCCAGTCACTGGCTTGACCATGGTCCTGATTTCTGCCACCCTTTTTAAGTGCAGAAATGTAACAGCTCTCTCAAGTTTGTAAATATTATATTTGTCTTGGTCTAACCCTGAACTGTTTTATTTGTTTTGGGGAATGCATAGCTTGTTTTTGTTGTTCTCTCGAAGGTTATCATGCTATTCATGTGAGACCTTGCAAGAACTGCTGCCCTACCCCTCCAGTCAAGTCTAGGAGCGCATGCCATGGGATATGTTAGGGGATGATCGTACTTTGATTCAGCAACAAACAGCAGATACTGTTACTCAAGAACTGTAACAGTAGACAGATTCGGCTAATGAGTTTACATTCTAAAGTTGCCATCCAATTCAGACATGTGTTGATTTATTTGGGAGGTTACAATAACTATTGTGAAATTTGTCGCACACAACTGATTGCATGGAAGTTTGTGCAAACAGGACAATATTGTAACCTCCCATATAAATCATCACATGATCTGAATTGGGCAGTGGAAACAAGGATGTAAATACATTAGCTGTATGTCTAGAGAGGTTCTCTTAGTCATAGCACCAATCTCTTGTTGGAAAGGTGTGTTAGATCGAATCCTCATGGTATGAACAATTGGCAGTGCATTTTGACCAATGAGAATGTTACTGATGTTTTAATGGTATAATGCTTTGTGATTGAAGGTCATTTGTCGAGATATTTTCTTGTCATACTGGGGACAGCCAGGATTGTTACAAAGAGCTCCAATCCATGCTAAAAACAAACTCTCATCCGTGTTATCAGAGTGCGCATCAGAAACAATGCTACCGTGGAAACCAGGAAAAATGGAGAGGATTCACAGAAAACTAAAGAAAATTCTCTCCGAAGAACAAGTGTCTAATTAGTTCTAATTGAAACAAGCAGATGCTTATAAATGGATTTTTAACTGTAAATTATGTATTTGCAAATTAAAGCATATTTGAAAAAATAAGAGCTTTTTGAGTGTCACCAGAACAAGTACACAGGGCTGCAAATAGCAGTCGGTCTTTGGCCGACCAAAATTTGCTTTTGTCCAATGAAATCCCGACTGTGGCTGGACATGAAGTCCAGGCAAATTTTTTATTGTAAATCATTTTAGGGTAAGGATAAATAAAAATCTACCTTGAGTAAATCTTACTTTGTGTTGAGATGATCTTAATCAATTCACAGCTCTCATAAGTCACAAAACAGTATTAACTTGGGTAATAAAGTATGTCCTGTTTTACCCGAAAGGTAGGATTTGATAATGCTTTTCAAAAAGTAGCGAGATGTTTACTTTTGTTCGTAGTTTTAGAAAGTCATTGCAGTAAACTCTCTCTACAAATTAGAAACAATTCACAAATTATACAGGTCCCAGTGTGGTATTATTTTTAAGGATATAAAGTTTTCAACTTTTTTGGTGATGTCCAACCACAATTTGTTTTGTCTGACCAAGATGGTTTCTTAGTATACATGTATGTTCTTTCAAGAGAAAAAAATTATTTGCAACCCTGAGTACATGATAATTTGTTATTTTATTATTCTCATTTTTGCCAACTGAAAAATAGGTTTGAAATAGCCCTTGAATTTGCCCAATAAAATAACACTGGCACACAGTTACCAGTTTTGTAAAGGTCTTTGTTCTCTGTCACAATATTGAGTAGTTCCATAAAATATCCATGCCTACCCCATGGAATATTATTGGAAATTCAAATTTTAATGGAAAGTATGATGCTAAACTAGAATTTCCAGAACAGGGAGGGTTTAAAGAAAAGAGAACTTCCATATGATGGATAAGGTAAAATAATAATATTATTATAATTGTTTATTTTCTGGAACAACACAATTCTTCATTCATTCATTCAGTTTTCGTGACGTCATTCCATCCGAGAGATTTTGTCCAAAATGGCTTCCAACAAGCCTTTTAAGTACCACTCCAGGTTATGGCTGCTCTTGAGCCATATTATTTTGAGCCAAACATGCTCCAATGTCTGAAGTGATAGCATTGAAGATAGTGAAGTGGATAATTGCTTGGAAGAAAATAGATTTTGCTGACCTTGTGAAAGATGCCGAGTCAGTTGCAGGTTTTTCCACAACGGCCAGTTAATCAACGACTGACAAATGGTGATTAACAAACCTTGTGATCTATTGTAAAAGGTCATGAAACTCCATACCGCATGTCATTGATTTCTGTTTCTGTTTGGTTTGTTTTATTGAGATAATTTGATTGTTTTTTTAAAATATTATGAATATGTCGTAACCCCCCAAAAAACAGGTGTCATATTACACCCTACATGTATCTCCCCATAACGGACACCTCTCTACACGGCGACCTTCACACAGTATGTCCTGAAGGTGGCCCTTGTAGAGAGGTTTGACTATAAACAATAAATTATTACAGACTCAGTAAATTCTGCCACATTACAACAAAATGTTGCTTTTAATGATGAAAATACAGTACTGAGTACTAAGTACTGTTGAAGGATAAATTCCTAATGATAAAAATATACAAACAGACACAGCTTGATCAGTACACAGTGTAAATGTAGAGACATGATAACTCAATACTGATTAGGTAAATGTAAAAATTCTATTAAAAAAATCATTTTCTGAATGCCCAGAACTAAATCTGCTGTGTACCTTGCCCAAAAAAGATAATTCTGTAATAAAAACAAGCCAACAATGAATGATATTGATAGGTCATTGAAAGTTTTCCCTTTGATATTGCATATTACAATAACTTTTCTTGTTCACTTCTCTTAAAATTTCATGGAGATTTTTGGGTTAGATTGGACAGCTGTTGTCAGTCAAAACCCAATCAAGGTCTCACTAGTCACAAAATTTCTGGTATAGTTCAATGTACAAGCAAGTAGTTAATAACTGATCCTGTGGACCATGGGTATGAACACCATGCAAATGCAACAATGTTTTCATGACTTCCAAAGGGTAGTAAAAGTGTTCCATTGTAAGTCATTAACAGTGCAGGCTCAATGAACAATTCTCAGATTGTCAAAGTCACCAGACCGTCACCATGTTGTAACAACAATTATCCCAACTTTTACTTCGTCAGTGAAATTCTTTGGTCATGAGTTTGTTTATGACATTGTTTACATCAGCAGTCTTGTTGATCTTGATGTATGCACATTTCCTTACTGTTAGAACTGAGATCCACTCTGGAACAAGCTGTGACATGAATCGGATGTGTTCTTCCACTTGTACTACAGTGAAAAGAAGAACTTCAATGAATTACTGTTACAAGTGAGAGATGCATTGCCTTAATGCTTAACATGCTGGATTCTGGATTGAAAAGGCTTGGTCAACAATGACTCTGTGGAAACTAGCATAAATTCTGCCAGTATGCCCCAGTGGCCCGATAGCCCTTTTCAAAGTTCAAATTTTTTTATAATTTTTCATTATAATGAAATTCACCTTGGATAGGAGACAATTTTGGGCAGAAACCACAAAAGTGTCCCAAATTGCCTCACATTCATGCTAGATCACACAGCACTGTTGCAGAGAATTATGTAGCTTGCAATTTCATCACTTGAAATAACATTTATACTGAAAGTGCCAGGTACTTGTGAAGTACTCACAAACAACTTAACATGCGTGTCTTCTTCTGATGGTATCATATTACACTGCTGTTACTGTTATAATAGAATCCTGATTTCTCAAACCTCCGAGGGGAAAAATTGGCTTATGATATTGGAAATTAGTCAGAAAGAATTATATCCAAAGGAAATGCCTTCTAGTTTGAGTTATCAGGAGGTTCGAAAAATCATTTCCCTGCATTTAAACAGAAAATAATATACTCTGAAGTAAAATTATACCTGAAGATAGGGAAGTCTTGTAACTTTCCGAGAGTTTTACTGTTGCATCATCCAGAGGAATAGCTGCTTTGCGCTCAGCAGAGAAGTAGCTACAGAAAGTTAAGGACTGATACACTATCACACACATTTGACTAGCTAGTAAGAGTGAACTTACACCCAATTACTACCCTTGTCTACCCTGCAAGTCAAGTTTTTGTAAAACATATACTTTATGACCAAACCAAGGGAAACAGTTCATTCTTGTTTTCGCAAATTCTTGACATTGAGTACAGAGTCTTGAATAACTATCAAATGTAGGATACGCTTTGAGTATTCTGCATAAGTCAGGGAGACGTTCCTTCATGGCAAGCTTCTTGTCAACTAGCGGATCTCTCGTCATGTTTTCCTCTATTTTCTTTGCTTCTTTCTGACGAATCTAAACAATCAACAAGGCTATGCATCAATGATATGAATGTATCTATTTAAGACTGAAATGTAAATGTAGATTAGTTGATAAAGATTTAATTTTCATGTTTCCATTGATATTGTGTTTAGAAACATCAAAAGCAGTGTCAAAATAAATACAAAGCAAATCTTTCCCAATACTTGCCTGATAGGCAAGACAAAGATGTTTAGATGGCAGAAGACAGAGTGTATAAAACTCCAAGTCTCCTAAAAGGGCAGCTAGGGAACATATAATAATAATAATATTAAATGTTCACAAGCTGCCCTTTTAGGAGACTGATCTTCTTTAGGTTATAAACATAATTATTTTGTTTATAACTTGAGAGAAGAACGGTCACAATGAAGACACTTAAGGTACTGTGTACATGTACCTTGTTCAGCAGATCTTGAGAGATTCCCTTCAAGGCTGATTTATGCTTCAGGCTGTTCTTATTTTCAGTATTTTCTTTCAATGCTGTGATGACTTTCTTTTCTTCAAGGTTGTTCTTGTTAGTTGTTCTTTGCTCTTTGTCTTCTTGCTCCTTTGAAGCAACTGTTCTTAGTGCTTTCTCAACCTGTCACAAATGAAAAAACAACTTTCATTTTAATCAAAAATGGAAATGACAAGTCTTGGAACTTAGATTTCTTTTACAACTCTTAACATTATTTTGTTATGACATGGAAGCTCTGTGAGCAGGCTCAAAAAACTAAATCATGCACTGTACTAAGCCCACCCAAGCAGGCAAGATGGAACTTAGTCTATCTTAGCCGCTAGGGATTAACTGCTGTTTCTTGCAAGAAAACGGTGTTCTCTATGTCATACAATGAATCCCTTATTGACCAAGCTTGTTTGGTCAGGATTGCTGGATATTGGCCTCAACATTGTTCTGCATGTTCAAAGACCTCAACTACGTCATGGTCCGATAAATTTACAAAATACATTGAATAGTGTGGCCAATAATCAACAATCTTGACCTCACTGTTGGTCAAAATAACTCATGATATCTACATACCCTTGGTGCTATCATATCTCGTGCTTTCTCTAGCACATCGTGAGCACTACTGTAGGTCTTCACCACAGGTGGCTGAGGCAGATCAGCCTCATCTACATCTGGGACATCATCAAGACGAAACTTGGGGTGCCAGCGCATGATCTTGTTATCATCAACTGACAAAGCTGGNACAATTAAAATTAAAGCTCAGTAGCTTATGTAGTCATGCATAATAAAATTAAAATTAAATTAAATTAAAATACCCCCATGGAATTTGAGGGTCCCCCAATAATTATTTTCATCCTATACCTTTGAGGTGTGTGGCATTTTCTGGAACACCACAGTTTAAACTTTAAGGGCACGGTGAATTAAACTTATCTGAGTAATTTTGACATTTTTAATGCCTGACATTTTACACCTGATATTAACAGGTGATGGGTCAAAAATGGAGCAAGACCAAATTTACGAACTCTTCATTTCTCATGTGTCTGATCATGTGAAGAATGAACTCTCTTTTTCTGAACTAAACAATATAATGACAGAACAAAAGATTCTGGAACTTCTTTGGCAGCCACATTCATTGGAAAAACTTTCCTTTGCTGACATGTCAAGTTTGTGGCTCTTAATCCAGAGAGATGAATTCATCAAGTTACAACTACTGCAAGATATGGAACACATTCCAAGAGTGTACGGCTTCTGTGGAAAATTTTATGCTGTAGAGAGGGTGGAGACCCTAGAAGAATTTTCCTTTTCTCCATTTAAAAAGCCAATGCCTTGGAAAAAACGCTTAAAGACAGCTTTAGACTTTTTGGAGCTTTCACAAGAATTTTCTAACACGGCGTTAGGAAAACTTCACCACTGTGATATCCAGCCAGGAAATTTTGGTATCACCAAAGCTGCGAGAGTCGTAGCCATTGATATTGACTCTGTATTCTCCATGCAACAAATGGAGGATTTCCTTGAACAACCAACTTGTGAGAGTAACAAACAGTGTGATTTCTTTGACTGCATGTCTGCATGTAATGTAACAGAACATCAATGTTCAAGAAATATTCTCACCAACAACCTTCAGGTAAGACAAGTTGATTATGGAAAATAGATGTTATAATTACCCGTTAGCTGGGAGCTCCATACAGTGAAAAACTGTGACTAAGGTCTTGAAATGCTGCCTGAGGCTGCAGGCCGAGCTAGCTGGGCAGCATTTCAAGTCCAAGGTCACAGTTTTTCACTGCACACACCAACCCCAAGCTGGTAAATAAGTTATTTTTTTCCTTTCTCTCAGATCACTTTTATTGTTGACCTTTTCCACCACTCTCTGCACATGCACATCTCCATGAATGTGGTTAGGGATAAGAAAATCTGGACTGAGCCAGGAACCAGTCAGATTGAAGGATTCGTTACAGTGCCCTATTAGAGAAAAATAGTTCATCATCTCAAACTACTAGGAACTTGTGTCATCTGACCAGTTTGAAGACTATTTCATAGCCAGTCACTGGCTTGACCATGGTCCTGATTTCTGCCACCCTTTTTAAGTGCAGAAATGTAACAGCTCTCTCAAGTTTGTAAATATTATATTTGTCTTGGTCTAACCCTGAACTGTTTTATTTGTTTTGGGGAATGCATAGCTTGTTTTTGTTGTTCTCTCGAAGGTTATCATGCTATTCATGTGAGACCTTGCAAGAACTGCTGCCCTACCCCTCCAGTCAAGTCTAGGAGCGCATGCCATGGGATATGTTAGGGGATGATCGTACTTTGATTCAGCAACAAACAGCAGATACTGTTACTCAAGAACTGTAACAGTAGACAGATTCGGCTAATGAGTTTACATTCTAAAGTTGCCATCCAATTCAGACATGTGTTGATTTATTTGGGAGGTTACAATAACTATTGTGAAATTTGTCGCACACAACTGATTGCATGGAAGTTTGTGCAAACAGGACAATATTGTAACCTCCCATATAAATCATCACATGATCTGAATTGGGCAGTGGAAACAAGGATGTAAATACATTAGCTGTATGTCTAGAGAGGTTCTCTTAGTCATAGCACCAATCTCTTGTTGGAAAGGTGTGTTAGATCGAATCCTCATGGTATGAACAATTGGCAGTGCATTTTGACCAATGAGAATGTTACTGATGTTTTAATGGTATAATGCTTTGTGATTGAAGGTCATTTGTCGAGATATTTTCTTGTCATACTGGGGACAGCCAGGATTGTTACAAAGAGCTCCAATCCATGCTAAAAACAAACTCTCATCCGTGTTATCAGAGTGCGCATCAGAAACAATGCTACCGTGGAAACCAGGAAAAATGGAGAGGATTCACAGAAAACTAAAGAAAATTCTCTCCGAAGAACAAGTGTCTAATTAGTTCTAATTGAAACAAGCAGATGCTTATAAATGGATTTTTAACTGTAAATTATGTATTTGCAAATTAAAGCATATTTGAAAAAATAAGAGCTTTTTGAGTGTCACCAGAACAAGTACACAGGGCTGCAAATAGCAGTCGGTCTTTGGCCGACCAAAATTTGCTTTTGTCCAATGAAATCCCGACTGTGGCTGGACATGAAGTCCAGGCAAATTTTTTATTGTAAATCATTTTAGGGTAAGGATAAATAAAAATCTACCTTGAGTAAATCTTACTTTGTGTTGAGATGATCTTAATCAATTCACAGCTCTCATAAGTCACAAAACAGTATTAACTTGGGTAATAAAGTATGTCCTGTTTTACCCGAAAGGTAGGATTTGATAATGCTTTTCAAAAAGTAGCGAGATGTTTACTTTTGTTCGTAGTTTTAGAAAGTCATTGCAGTAAACTCTCTCTACAAATTAGAAACAATTCACAAATTATACAGGTCCCAGTGTGGTATTATTTTTAAGGATATAAAGTTTTCAACTTTTTTGGTGATGTCCAACCACAATTTGTTTTGTCTGACCAAGATGGTTTCTTAGTATACATGTATGTTCTTTCAAGAGAAAAAAATTATTTGCAACCCTGAGTACATGATAATTTGTTATTTTATTATTCTCATTTTTGCCAACTGAAAAATAGGTTTGAAATAGCCCTTGAATTTGCCCAATAAAATAACACTGGCACACAGTTACCAGTTTTGTAAAGGTCTTTGTTCTCTGTCACAATATTGAGTAGTTCCATAAAATATCCATGCCTACCCCATGGAATATTATTGGAAATTCAAATTTTAATGGAAAGTATGATGCTAAACTAGAATTTCCAGAACAGGGAGGGTTTAAAGAAAAGAGAACTTCCATATGATGGATAAGGTAAAATAATAATATTATTATAATTGTTTATTTTCTGGAACAACACAATTCTTCATTCATTCATTCAGTTTTCGTGACGTCATTCCATCCGAGAGATTTTGTCCAAAATGGCTTCCAACAAGCCTTTTAAGTACCACTCCAGGTTATGGCTGCTCTTGAGCCATATTATTTTGAGCCAAACATGCTCCAATGTCTGAAGTGATAGCATTGAAGATAGTGAAGTGGATAATTGCTTGGAAGAAAATAGATTTTGCTGACCTTGTGAAAGATGCCGAGTCAGTTGCAGGTTTTTCCACAACGGCCAGTTAATCAACGACTGACAAATGGTGATTAACAAACCTTGTGATCTATTGTAAAAGGTCATGAAACTCCATACCGCATGTCATTGATTTCTGTTTCTGTTTGGTTTGTTTTATTGAGATAATTTGATTGTTTTTTTAAAATATTATGAATATGTCGTAACCCCCCAAAAAACAGGTGTCATATTACACCCTACATGTATCTCCCCATAACGGACACCTCTCTACACGGCGACCTTCACACAGTATGTCCTGAAGGTGGCCCTTGTAGAGAGGTTTGACTATAAACAATAAATTATTACAGACTCAGTAAATTCTGCCACATTACAACAAAATGTTGCTTTTAATGATGAAAATACAGTACTGAGTACTAAGTACTGTTGAAGGATAAATTCCTAATGATAAAAATATACAAACAGACACAGCTTGATCAGTACACAGTGTAAATGTAGAGACATGATAACTCAATACTGATTAGGTAAATGTAAAAATTCTATTAAAAAAATCATTTTCTGAATGCCCAGAACTAAATCTGCTGTGTACCTTGCCCAAAAAAGATAATTCTGTAATAAAAACAAGCCAACAATGAATGATATTGATAGGTCATTGAAAGTTTTCCCTTTGATATTGCATATTACAATAACTTTTCTTGTTCACTTCTCTTAAAATTTCATGGAGATTTTTGGGTTAGATTGGACAGCTGTTGTCAGTCAAAACCCAATCAAGGTCTCACTAGTCACAAAATTTCTGGTATAGTTCAATGTACAAGCAAGTAGTTAATAACTGATCCTGTGGACCATGGGTATGAACACCATGCAAATGCAACAATGTTTTCATGACTTCCAAAGGGTAGTAAAAGTGTTCCATTGTAAGTCATTAACAGTGCAGGCTCAATGAACAATTCTCAGATTGTCAAAGTCACCAGACCGTCACCATGTTGTAACAACAATTATCCCAACTTTTACTTCGTCAGTGAAATTCTTTGGTCATGAGTTTGTTTATGACATTGTTTACATCAGCAGTCTTGTTGATCTTGATGTATGCACATTTCCTTACTGTTAGAACTGAGATCCACTCTGGAACAAGCTGTGACATGAATCGGATGTGTTCTTCCACTTGTACTACAGTGAAAAGAAGAACTTCAATGAATTACTGTTACAAGTGAGAGATGCATTGCCTTAATGCTTAACATGCTGGATTCTGGATTGAAAAGGCTTGGTCAACAATGACTCTGTGGAAACTAGCATAAATTCTGCCAGTATGCCCCAGTGGCCCGATAGCCCTTTTCAAAGTTCAAATTTTTTTATAATTTTTCATTATAATGAAATTCACCTTGGATAGGAGACAATTTTGGGCAGAAACCACAAAAGTGTCCCAAATTGCCTCACATTCATGCTAGATCACACAGCACTGTTGCAGAGAATTATGTAGCTTGCAATTTCATCACTTGAAATAACATTTATACTGAAAGTGCCAGGTACTTGTGAAGTACTCACAAACAACTTAACATGCGTGTCTTCTTCTGATGGTATCATATTACACTGCTGTTACTGTTATAATAGAATCCTGATTTCTCAAACCTCCGAGGGGAAAAATTGGCTTATGATATTGGAAATTAGTCAGAAAGAATTATATCCAAAGGAAATGCCTTCTAGTTTGAGTTATCAGGAGGTTCGAAAAATCATTTCCCTGCATTTAAACAGAAAATAATATACTCTGAAGTAAAATTATACCTGAAGATAGGGAAGTCTTGTAACTTTCCGAGAGTTTTACTGTTGCATCATCCAGAGGAATAGCTGCTTTGCGCTCAGCAGAGAAGTAGCTACAGAAAGTTAAGGACTGATACACTATCACACACATTTGACTAGCTAGTAAGAGTGAACTTACACCCAATTACTACCCTTGTCTACCCTGCAAGTCAAGTTTTTGTAAAACATATACTTTATGACCAAACCAAGGGAAACAGTTCATTCTTGTTTTCGCAAATTCTTGACATTGAGTACAGAGTCTTGAATAACTATCAAATGTAGGATACGCTTTGAGTATTCTGCATAAGTCAGGGAGACGTTCCTTCATGGCAAGCTTCTTGTCAACTAGCGGATCTCTCGTCATGTTTTCCTCTATTTTCTTTGCTTCTTTCTGACGAATCTAAACAATCAACAAGGCTATGCATCAATGATATGAATGTATCTATTTAAGACTGAAATGTAAATGTAGATTAGTTGATAAAGATTTAATTTTCATGTTTCCATTGATATTGTGTTTAGAAACATCAAAAGCAGTGTCAAAATAAATACAAAGCAAATCTTTCCCAATACTTGCCTGATAGGCAAGACAAAGATGTTTAGATGGCAGAAGACAGAGTGTATAAAACTCCAAGTCTCCTAAAAGGGCAGCTAGGGAACATATAATAATAATAATATTAAATGTTCACAAGCTGCCCTTTTAGGAGACTGATCTTCTTTAGGTTATAAACATAATTATTTTGTTTATAACTTGAGAGAAGAACGGTCACAATGAAGACACTTAAGGTACTGTGTACATGTACCTTGTTCAGCAGATCTTGAGAGATTCCCTTCAAGGCTGATTTATGCTTCAGGCTGTTCTTATTTTCAGTATTTTCTTTCAATGCTGTGATGACTTTCTTTTCTTCAAGGTTGTTCTTGTTAGTTGTTCTTTGCTCTTTGTCTTCTTGCTCCTTTGAAGCAACTGTTCTTAGTGCTTTCTCAACCTGTCACAAATGAAAAAACAACTTTCATTTTAATCAAAAATGGAAATGACAAGTCTTGGAACTTAGATTTCTTTTACAACTCTTAACATTATTTTGTTATGACATGGAAGCTCTGTGAGCAGGCTCAAAAAACTAAATCATGCACTGTACTAAGCCCACCCAAGCAGGCAAGATGGAACTTAGTCTATCTTAGCCGCTAGGGATTAACTGCTGTTTCTTGCAAGAAAACGGTGTTCTCTATGTCATACAATGAATCCCTTATTGACCAAGCTTGTTTGGTCAGGATTGCTGGATATTGGCCTCAACATTGTTCTGCATGTTCAAAGACCTCAACTACGTCATGGTCCGATAAATTTACAAAATACATTGAATAGTGTGGCCAATAATCAACAATCTTGACCTCACTGTTGGTCAAAATAACTCATGATATCTACATACCCTTGGTGCTATCATATCTCGTGCTTTCTCTAGCACATCGTGAGCACTACTGTAGGTCTTCACCACAGGTGGCTGAGGCAGATCAGCCTCATCTACATCTGGGACATCATCAAGACGAAACTTGGGGTGCCAGCGCATGATCTTGTTATCATCAACTGACAAAGCTGGATTAAGGTTACAGAGGAAGTCCTGGCAAAAAGCAAGTCAGAGTACAATGATAGTTAGAAAATTTTCCAATGACAGAGTCATAAAACCAATAACAGAAGCCACACTTAGTCAGACCTCCAGTTGTGACCACCTCCCATAAACGCTTACAGGAGGTTTGACTGTATCCAGTTTTTATTTTACAGCAGATGTCACCAAAAAGCACAAATTACTGCATGGCCTCATAATGTTGAAATGAACGATAATTTTTTCAATATATTTGAAATATGCCTTGGGTTTTGTAACAGTGATAAAGTCTGCATACAAGCCAAGTTGACCATCAGGCCAGTGCTTATCTCTGGTTTCAGTAGCATGAAATCACTAGGAGTATTTCTACTCTCCCAGCTGGATGGGATGCTAGTCCATCGCATGGTTACCCCCCAGCACTCCAGCATTAAGTTTACTCTCCACCTGGGTGGAGAGAGGTACAGTGAGAGTAAAGTGTCTTGCCCAAGAACACAACACGATGTCCCTGTGGGCTAAGGCTCAAACCTGGACCTCTTGATCTGGAGGCAAGTGCACTAACCGTGAGGCCACAGCGCCTCTCCAGGTTTTGTTATAGTCAAACATAAATGGGTAAAACCCCATTGCCAAATGCAGGGTAGTCACAACAGTTTGAATTGGGTTACTTTATTGTTGGAGTAAGAAGTTGATTTTGTTATGTTTTTCTGTAAAAGCAGGTGATTAGCCCAGCAGAATAGCTAGCCAAGATCATGAAGTAGATGATGATTTTTGTTAGCCACCAGCTATTTTTGACAACCCTCCCAAATGTATAATCTTTTATAGCCAATCAGAACTTGAGGCAAAAACTTGAAAAGTTGCCATGTTGTCATACATTCGGAGTCACGTGTCGCCTTGATTGTAATAAACTTGTTGCTCTGCAGGTGAATTACATCTCAACAAGAAAATTCACCTGTAACATCAAGGCTCTAGTAAGCATTAGAGCTGTTTTCAATTGAGCGTCGTAAAACCAAATTTGAAAACCAAACCAGTTACTTACAAGTTAGACCACTCAGGCAATCTCAAACCAAAGTCAAAACCAAATTAATTGTCTGATCACATTTGACACTCAGTTGAAAACTGCTCTATCAGCTGTAACATGTGTTACAGGTTTCAGCCCTTGACGACAGCCCTGAGTTCTACAACTGTACCTGATGGTGTCTCTTGGTTATTTTCAACATATTTGATTGAAAGGTATCTTTCCTGGCCAACATCTCACTTGCAGTCAGTGTCAGCTTACTGAGTGACTCTTCTGTTTTTCCAAACTCAACAGTCAGCTCAAATGATGATGACTTTCCAGGACATTTATCTTGACGGAATTCCAGAGCCAATGGATACACAGTTTTCATTTGAGCCAGATGTTTTTTCTCAAATCGCCTACAAAAAAATGTACCAGTGAATAATTTATTATTGAGGAATTAAAAACACCAAGATAACGGAGGCTAATAAAAAGCAAAGTCAAAGAGATGTTGCTGGAAATAAAGTGCTTATACTCTACAACAAAATGGTTTGTGGTACTTCTAGATTAAGTAACAAAAATGTAATAAGAGAAATGTGAAATGGAAAAATGCAAAATATGTAGAGAATGATATAGTAAGAATACAGCTAGCACAAAGCTGATTTCCATAAATGCCATTGAAACAGGAAACAAATACTTCAAATATGCATAGGAAGGTCGAAAATAAGTAAAACCTCTCTCACAATAGGACAAAAAACAAATTCATTTACTCCCGCCATAAATGATATTGCTTTCAAAGATTTAATAGGTAATAAGGTTTTCACCACACAATTATAGAAGGGTCCTTACTTTCTCGACATCTGCTGTACAGCATCTCTGAGTTTTGGGTAGGTACATTTCTCTTTCCGCTGGCCCAACAAATTCAGCACTGTGTCAGTGCAGCGGAACATCTCTGCCAAAGTCTTGTACTTATAGGGAAGGGGTAGAGTTGCAGAGGATGTATCTGATGGGCTGGACTGAGCTAGGGCATGGAAGCGTTCGTAGGCTGGAACCTTCAAACTACAAATATTGAAAAAATATACAATTAAGTTATAAATTATTACAATATCATTAAATGGTGACTGTCATTC